GTTCTGAAAAATTGATTCTAACATTTTTTTTTTAGACCAGTAGACTTATTGATTTTATGAAGGTAACAATTTCTAGAGGTTCTTATTCCACCATTTTTGCTAACATCATCCACCTTTCTGTGTTAAAGTATATAAATACAGATCCTCAATCTTGTATGGTAATTTAAAAGTTTTGATGAAGGTGACAATAACTTTGGAAAGGATGCCCAGAATTATTTCTTTGCAAATAATAAAAAAAATCTGCTAAGAAAAGATACCCAGCCTTTGACCAATAAACATAGCTTTGCAGATGCCGCTTCAGCAAATATAAGCTCAAGCAAAAGTCAATAAAGAAAAGATTTGCAGAGATTTGGTGAGGACACTTTCAGGGGACAAACTGGAACCTGGTATTTTTTGCTAAAATGTGAATGGGGAACTAATACCACTAGTTGCATCTTATATTAACATTGTGTTTCCATATGTCTCTGTTTGGTCACCTCAAACTATGTTCAAATATATTAAAAGAAATAAAAAGCAATCATTTCAGTTCTGTATGGAACTAAACATATTGCATTAGAAGCACATTTTGTTCTTTTAGAAGACAGCCCTTCTAGCTGAGTCTTTTCATGAGTTAGAAAACATGCCATTCTTGCCAAACACAATAAAAATATATCCTGATATTTGGTAGTTGATTGCATTATCCCTGTAGATTGGTAAATCATGTAGTGTTAGGTTTATCGTGAAATTCCAAATTTCTGGATTACCTCCTGGAAAGAATTGTTTCTCTTTTATAGTGTTACAAACCATGAATAATGAATGTGTTCTCTTTAGTCTTGAGATATATCCTGGAAAAAGTGTTTTGATACATTTTTACGATGAACAGAGATTTTTTTTTTCCCAAACAGCAAGTTTACATTAAGTGTCTCTAAACCATATGTCCAAAGAAGGCTGTGGTTGTATCTATAAAATCAACATTAAAATTACAAGGTTAGATTAAAGACAGTTGTCTGTTTTAATTTTTAGAGAATACTCTATGAATTTTAATACTGTGTAGGAATTTTGTTTCAGGAGTTAGGAGGCATTCAGGAAATATTAGAGATGGAACATCCTCTAGTACCCTACACCTTATCCTGTCAATATCCAATAATCGAATGAGGATACTGAGGATACGCCAGACACTATTCTTCATACTTTTACTATAAAACTTTTCTAAACAATTTTATGTATATATAAATGACTAATTGAATTCACATTTACAAATGAGAAAACAGTCACCACAAGGCTGAGTAACTTGTCCACAATCACATAGGAAGTGGTTATGATATGTTGAATCTCTATCAGCACTCTCTGATAAAAATAAAATATGAGCCACATATATACTTTTAAATTTTCTATAGCCACATTTATTAGTTATATATGGCTGCATAATAAATTTTCTCTAAATTCAGCAACTTAAAACAACACATGTTTACTATCTCACACACTTTCAGAGGTTGAGGAAACTGGGAGTGCTTTAAGACAGTATACTGTCTCAGGCTCTCTCTGAGGTTGCAGCGAAGCTGCATGCAGGGAGTGTGGTCTCTGTAGACTTGACTGCTTGGAGAATCTATTTCCAAGTTCACTCATGTGGCTGTCCTGGGAAGCTTCAGTTCTTCACCATGAGATCCTCTCTGTAGGGTTCCCACAGAGTGAGTGATCTAAGAATGAGAGACAGCCCAAGGCTGAAACCACAGTCCTCTATGGCCTAATTTCAGAAGTGACATAGCATCACTTC